TAAAAAACTTCAGTTAAAGAAATGTTATTTTCATCAACATCCACATTTCTCAGTCAATTGAAAGAATTTCAAGTCTGAATTAGATAAATTGAACTCACTGACTCATTGCACAGTTATTCTGTACATCTAATTTCTCCTTAAGCAATAAATATTTATTTCTCAAACAATTAATTTAATAATCAATTAAATTAATAAATAAATAAAAGTAAATATTATTATTCACTAAAAAAAAAAAAATAATAGAATTTCTTATCTATTTGCTTCAGGTGGATGCTAAAGAGTAGCCTGGTTTTTTAAAAGACAAGATCCTTAAAAAAAGCAGTGCTTTAACAAAAGAAGTAAATAACAATTTCTGGAACATTAATTTATTAACAGATCAAAGTTAAAAGTTAATATTAGAAAACATGTTTCAAAGTATTCGATGGGCTTTCAATTGGAAGGAATGGAATCCTAGTGAGAAGGATTTTACTTATGCTATTTCTTGTATACAATTAGAAGAGAAAGAAAGATTAGGCAAATTTGTGTTTCGCAAAGATGTTAGGGCTTCTCTTGTAGGTAGATTAATGATGAGAAAATTTGTTAATGAATATGGACATATTCCATATTCCAATATAATATTTGTAAGAGATGCGAATAATAAGCCTATTTTAAAAAATATTTCTTCAAGTTTAAGTTTTAATGTATCCCATCAGGGTAATTATACGGTTTTAGCAGGTGAAACAAGGAATGTAAAATTAGGAATAGATGTAATGAAATTTGAATATACTGGTGGTAAACAGTTATCTGAATTTTTCCGTATAATGAATCGAAATTTTTCGTCTTCAGAATGGAAAGAGATAAAAAACTTGTCTTTAGACGAATCTGAACAAATCGATATGTTTTGTAGACATTGGGCATTAAAAGAAAGCTATGTGAAAGCTTTAGGCATCGGTATTGTGAGTGATCTTAGAGCTTTTTCATTTGAAACCAATTCAGAACTATTTGAAAATTCTGTAACAATTGATACAGCTTTATATATAAACGGTATAAAACAAGATTGGTTGTTTGAGGAAACATTGTTAAATTCGCATCATTGTGTAGCTGTAGCATTGCAAGAAAATGGAAAAGCGCCGAAATCGCAAAAAAAAACATTTGACATTATAAGCAATGATAAACTTTTAATAAGCACTGTTCCATTGTTTCCACAAGACCTTGAATATACACAAAAATATTTTGAAAAAAAAGAAAATTCGAAACTTTAGATTTTTTTATGGATACATTTATATATGTGAAATAAAGATGTACAGATATAACATTTTTATTTTAGTTAGTGAGTCTCTAATAAAGATAGTTAGAAATATGTGTGCAAATTTTATTTTACCTTTTTATAGGATAGTCAATATTGTTATAATTATAATTCTTAATTTTTTATATGAAAATTTTTAATTTAAATTAATATTAGTAGTTAAATTAAATTAAATAATTTAAATTAGTATTAAATTATTATTTATATTAAATAGAAAATTTTATTAAATGTATTAAAAATATATTGATTAACCAAGTATTTTATTGTCTATTACAAAATATATTAGTAGTAAATATTTATAATTAGCATGATATGAATAATATATTAATCAAAGTTTTATTTTAATAAAATTTTAATATAATTTTCTGACTAAATATATATGTATAAGTTCAATTTACAACATAAAAAACATAAAAAAAAATAATTTTTATTTATTTATTTATTTTATATTTTATTTATATTTATATTTTATTTTATATTATTTTATAATTTATTTATTTTATATACATAATATTTTATATAAACCTATTATATTTAATTTCTTTTCTGCTTTTGGGAAAGGTAATTTTTCATAAATAACATTATATTTCTTCAATTTACATATGCATTTTAAAAAATATTACTTGCAATTATTTTATTTACTCTAAAAAACTTTCAAAAATATAACAAATATTAAATATCTATATTTTCAAATAGATTTAATTAATATTATTTTATTTATATTATAAATATTTTAAATTCATTATATAATAATTGTAGTAATAGTATTTGATTCTCTAGTAGCTCTATCTTGTTAAGTATGACTGCTTTCTTAAGTTCATTTTTGAGTTGCATGCATGCATATATATTGTGGCATAGGCGGAAGCGCATGGACAGCTAGCAGTTCAGACTTTGGTCAGTACTTTATCATCGACTTGGGTCAAATAATGAACATCACAGCTGTGGCGACCCAAGGTCGAGCAGTACAAAATGAATATGTTATGGAATATGTTATCAGTTATGGCACAAATGGCTTGGACTACGTTGAATTCAAAGAAGAAGATGGTAATATTAAGGTAAACTGATCCTATATAACATTTGAATCAATGTCTGCTAACATAGCCATAATCCATGAACAAATTTGTTAAAAAGGTATTTAGTAACTAATAATAATTATATTTAAAAACTAATCATATTAACACATTAATAATTTATTGCACTATGATAATTCAAAATGATTGGAGTTTCAATGCTATTATATTAGTTAAGTTCTTATAAGCATGAATAAATTATGAATGAGATTTTGTAATACTTAGGTAAGATGCTTGCATGTTTAATGTACACTGTTAGAATGCATATTTATTCATAGAAATAAATATATATATTAGTTAATATAATATATATTATATTATATATTAATTATATATATTATATAATTAAAATCTCTTTATTTGATTTCTGAATTATGTAAATATGAAAATGAAAAAATTATAATATACTAGAAATGTATACATTTTAAGATAAAACAAAAGATAATCATTATTTTACTATTTTCTAATGATTTATTAACACTTTTCTTCTTCTATTTACTTGCTTTGCTTGTATTTTTCTTCTTTTACACATGGACATGGGGCTGGGCTTTACAGGAGGTTCTACATGGTCACCAGAGCTTAGCAGTTATGATCAACATCTTACTGTGGAACTGGGAGACAGATATGAGATACGCAGCATTGCTACACGAGGTCGTGCTCATACTAATGAATATATAACAGAGTATATTGTCCAATATTCTGATGATGGACAAGCCTGGGCCAGTTATGAAAGTCAAGATGGTGTAGATGAGGTATAAGATAATAGAGATTAATAGAGATATTGATTATAACATGGAACAAAACTTTTCTATATATATATATATATATATAAATATATATTAATGTTTTTTTATTTTTATAAGCAAAAGAATAATTTTTATTCTTTTCAAATTATATATTTTTCTATGTGATTATTTATTTTTACTATTTATCATTTTTTAAAAAAAACTTTATCAATTTTTAAAATAAAAAAAATATTTAGATTATATTTTAGAAATATTTAGATTTTTATTTAGATTATATTTAGATTTTTTAAGTTTATGAAAAATATTCAAGAATATGAATTCAAAAGTTATCTTTGTACTTTGTATATAAATTTCATCTATTTTCCAATTTTTTAATAATTCTATGACAACAATTATTTTAATAATTTATTATTAAAATTATTTTACATTTTACAATTATTTTAATAATTTATTATTAAAATTACTTTACATTATATTTCCAATACAGAATGTCAAACATTTGCTTTTATGCTTTTGCACCTATGATTAACAATGCTTTACTAACATATCTATATATACATAAAAGCATGCCAAGTATCTATCAATTTATGTTTAATTTACTTCCATTTATTTCTGTGCATTTCATTCAATGTTGTACTTAAACATATGTAACTAATTAACAATGTATTATTGTTAATGAAAGTTTAAAAATTTAATATAATATATATAATATAATAAATAATTAATATATATTTAATACAATACAATTACTTTTTATAGATGTTTAAAGGTAATATAGATGGTGATACTATAAAACTTAACAAATTTGAAGTACCAATTATTGCACAATGGATTAGAATAAATCCTACTCGATGGCGGGATAGAATATCATTAAGATTAGAATTATATGGGTGCGACTATGGTAAGTGAAAATAATAATATGAAATTTAAATATTATTTAAAAATTTTATTGAGATAATTATCTTAAATTCATATAAAAATATATTGCTAATATTGTTATATTATTTATCCATCCAGATATAAAAAATTTATTTATAAATTAAAATTTTTTTAAAAATAATAATTATGTTTTCAAATATAAAAATATAAAAATTAAAATTTTATTTCAAATATTATTTATTAGTTTTATTAATACTCTTTTGGAGAAAGAACAAATTTCAATTCTATAAATCAAATGTTTTTTATTATATGCATAAAATTCTATTCATTAATTTCATTAATTAATTTTTTCTTTATAGTATCAGACATCCTTTCCTTCAATGGTTCATCCCTGTTACGATATGATTTATTAAGGGAACCAATAGAAACTGACAGACATTTTATACGTTTTCGATTTAAAACAAATAATGCGGATGGTATTTTAATGTATTCTCGTGGGACACAGGGAGATTATGTAGCTTTACAATTAAAAGATAATAGAATGATATTAAATATAGATCTGGGATCTGGTATTATGACAAGTCTATCTGTTGGAAGTCTTCTTGATGATAATATGTGGCATGATGTTTTGATATCACGTAATAGGAAAAATATTTCATTCTCTGTAGATAGAGTATTAATTAAAGGAAGAATAAAAGGAGAGTTTCATAGACTGGATTTAAATAGAGCAGTATGTAATAATTTATAATTTATTTTACATATTTAAATAATTTTTTTTATTTTATACATTTAAGTAATTTATATTTTCTATTAAATGTTCGAATCTATAGTATTAATTTAAAAAATATTATTAGCTTTATATAGGTGGTGTACCTAATAAACAGGATGGATTAGTAGTTAATCAAAATTTTACTGGATGTATAGAAAATTTTTATCTTAATGCAACTAGTATTATTCATGATTTAAAGGAAACAGAAATTACTGGTGAAAATCTTAGATATTATAAAGTGAATACACTTTATAACTGTCCTGAACCTCCCATAATACCTGTTACATTTTTAACTCATGGTTCATATGCTAGACTTAAAGGATACGAAGGAGTATCTTCTTTGAATGTTTCTCTTACTTTTCGAACATACGAAGATAAGGGTATTATTTTATATCATCAATTTACTTCTCCGGGTCACGTGAAGGTTTGTAAACATATTTTTGAAAGATAAGAATTTTCATTTTCAGATATATTAATAATATTTTATATATATTATATATATCGTATATATTTAGCTATTTTTAGAAGATGGTAAATTGAAAATTGATATTCAAACGAAAGGAAACCCTCAAGTAATTTTAGACAATTTTGATGAAAAATTTAATGATGGCAAATGGCATCAAGTTATTCTAACAATTTCGAAAAACAATCTTATCCTAAATGTTGATGGAACACCCATGCGAACCAGACGTATATTAGATATGGTTACGGGTCCTATTTATATGATTGGTGGTATGATAGGAATAGAAAGCAACCGCGGTTTCGTTGGTTGCATGCGTATGATTAGTATCGATGGTAATTACAAATTACCAACTGATTGGAAAGAAGAGGAATACTGTTGCAAGAACGAAATTGTTTTCGATGCTTGTCAGATGATGGACCGTTGCAATCCGAATCCGTGCAAACATTTTGGCGTATGTCGACAAAATTCTGATGAATTCTTCTGTGATTGTGCCAATACAGGATATACAGGAGCAGTTTGTCATACTTCTTTAAATCCCCTTTCATGCGAGGCATATAAAAATATAAACTCAGTTAATCAACGAGCAGATATTAAAATAGATGTGGATGGAAGCGGTCCTTTGAAACCTTTTCCAGTTGTTTGTGAATTTTATACAGATGGACGTGTAAGAACGATTTTGCGACATAATAATGAACGCATGACACCTGTGAATGGATTTCAAGAACCAGGTAGTTTCGTTCAAGATATTATTTACGATGCGGACATGGATCAAATTGAAGCTCTTTTAAATCGATCTACTAATTGTAGGCAGAGAATTAGTTATGAATGTGTACATTCTAAGTTGTTTAATTCACCAGGTAATTATCTATTATTTAATAATTTTGTGAATATACATGTAATATTTTATATTCATATAATTTTAGTATCACAAGGAGATTATTTCAGACCAAATTCATGGTGGGTCAGTAGAAATAATCAAAAAATGGATTATTGGGGAGGAGCTTTGCCAGGTTCGCGTAAATGCGAATGTGGTATACTCGGAAATTGTGCAGATCCTACTAAATGGTGTAATTGTGACTCTGATTTGGATGGTTTATTTGAAGATAGCGGAGATATTACAGAGAAGGAATATCTTCCAGTTAAACAATTGCGATTTGGTGATACTGGTACACCAGTTGATGATAAAGAAGGACGTTATACACTTGGACCACTTATTTGTGAAGGAGATGGTAAGTTTAAAATATTTTCTTAATGTTATGCATGTAAATAAGAATATTTAATTATTTTAAATTGTTTATAAGGTTCTGATTTACCTTGGTTGACTACCAAGGTAAGATCAGGTAAGATATGATGCCATTTAACATAGGCATGTGATTATATTCAACATAGTTATATCACCTAAATATGTAAACTGTATTTTTGTAAGCACATTAAGTATTGTAGTATAATAGCAATTAGTATTTAATAATTATAATTTTCTATTCACATTTGATCCTCGAATAAATGTCACTTGTATTTATTTTATCTGAATAATTTTTTATAAGATAATAAAATATTTCGTTTTATTGTAGATTTGTTCAAAAATGTAGTAACATTCCGCATTGTTGATGCTACCATAAATTTACCAACTTTCGATATTGGTCATAGCGGTGATATTATTTCGAATTTAAAACGACCATTGAAAATGCTGTTATAATTCATAGCAAGGGACCCACAGATTACATAAAAATCTCTATAAATAGTGGAAATCAGATTCAGTTCCAGTATCTAGCGGGTAGTGGTCCACTTACTGTCAGTGTACAAACCTCATATAGATTAGCTGATAATCGATGGCATTCTGTATCGGTCGAAAGAAATCGTAAAGAGGCTAGAATTGTAGTGGATGGAGCATTAAAAAATGAAGTAAGAGAACCTCCGGGACCAGTACGAGCGCTTCATCTTACATCAGAATTTGTAGTTGGTGCCACGACAGATTATAGAGATGGTTACGTAGGATGTATTAGAGCGCTTCTTTTGAATGGACAGTTGCAAGATTTAAGAAGTTATACCCATCAAAATTTATATGGAATTTCTGAAGGTTGCACAGGTAAATGTGAGAGTAACCCTTGTCTTAACAATGGCACATGTCATGAAAGATATGATGGATATTCTTGCGATTGTCGATGGACTGCATTTAAAGGTCCAATATGTGCAGATGGTATGTTTCTTTTTTATTTTTATTATGAAGAATTAAAAAATACAATTAAAATTTTTTATTTTTAAATTTTTATTTTTTAATTTTTAGAAATTATAATTAAATTATTTGACATTAGACATAGTAGTATAATAGCAACTATATAACATTAAAATCATAAAAATTATATTTTAAGTTTAAATTTGTTCTGTTACAGAAATTGGTGTTAATATGCGTCCAAGTTCGATAATAAAGTATGATTTTATGGGTAGCTGGCGATCTACAATTTCTGAAAAAATCCGAGTTGGTTTTACAACGACGAATCCTAAAGGTTTTCTACTTGGTCTTTTTTCAAATATTTCTGGAGAATATATGACAATTATGGTTTCGAACAGTGGTCATTTACGCGTAGTTTTCGATTTTGGTTTCGAACGGCAAGAAGTAATTTTTCCTAATAAGCATTTCGGTTTGGGACAGTATCATGATGTTAGAGTGGGCAGAAAAAATTCAGGAGCGATACTTGTATTACAAGTCGATAATTACGAACCAAAAGAGTTTTCTTTTAACATTAAAACTTCAGCTGACGCACAATTTAATAATATTCAATATATGTATATTGGAAGAAACGAATCCATGACTGAAGGTTTTGCTGGTTGCATATCTAGAGTAGAATTTGACGATATTTACCCATTAAAGTTATTATTCCAAGAAGATGGACCTGGAAATGTTCGCTCTTTTGGCACTCCTCTTACAGAAGATTTCTGTGGTGTGGAACCGATTACACATCCACCTGATATTATAGAAACTCGTCCACCACCTCAAGTAGATGAAGAAAAAGTTCGAGCTGCTTACAACGAAACAGACACCGCAATTTTAGGAAGTGTATTAGCTGTCATTATTATAGCTTTAATTATAATGGCTGTACTTATAGGAAGATACATGTCGAGACATAAAGGTGAATATTTAACGCAAGAAGATAAGGGTGCTGAAATAGCATTGGACCCAGATTCAGCAGTAGTTCATTCTGCCACTGGACATCAAGTTCAAAAAAAGAAGAATGGTTTATTTAAATATAAAGTTGAATTGTGCTAGAATACATAGTAAATTATGCTTATAAGTGCACTTTGAAGTGTCATAAGGAAAGATTTTATAGAAAGAATAAAAAGAAACATCTCTCTACTGTTTCGATTTAACTATAACTATATAAAATGATTTATGGAGACTGGTAAATTTAATTAGTAAACATAAACAAATTTTACAAATTTCTCATAATAATGAAAATACTGGACTGAAAATCTTTGAAATTTTCCTTAAAAGATAAGGTAAAAATAAGAAATATTAAAACTATGTTGTTTGTTTTATTTTTGTAATACAATGCATCATTACAGAAAATAATATAAAAATTATAATATAATTATTAATTCAAATATTGCGTTAAAAGATCTAGGTATATAGAAATATTATTTATATATTTTAGTATATTTTATTTTTTTAAGTAGAAATTTTTATATTTAGATTAATTATATAAGATTTATCTTTAAATTTAGATCAAGTACTTTTTTTCGTCGACTTTGAAATATATTGTAAAGGATATCATTTTGAATAACTTTTTCCTTTATAGCTAATTAATTATTTATATAAAGAAAAAAGTTATCCAAAATGATTTTATAACAATGATATCTTCTAAATCATTAAAGATTATTAAAGTTGATGAGAAAACGTATATTAATAGATTTATCTAAATTTATTTCATTTATTAGTATAAATCATAGTATTGCTAGTAATAAAAAATAAAGTAAAGAAATCGATTTAATTATATGACTATAATTATTTTAGGCTACAAGGTGCATAAATATATGTACATTTAAATTTAGATTAAATAGCAGGATATTATTATATTAGATATTTGTTTGTTTTACTTTTGATTATGTTAAAAATGAGAACAATTATTTGTTTCTTTCTTATTCTCGTATATCACAGTCTACTTAATATTAATTATAAAATTAATAAAAATTAATTGATTTCAAAACACATTTTTATAAAATCTAATAATTGGTTATATTTTTTTATCAATGATATGTACAAAAGAATTGTACATATAAAATATTTCTAAATTTTTAAAAACATTCTATTATATATAAAATACTTTTTATTTTTTCCATGAAATGTGTTCTCAGTATTATTTGTAATGCTTACCGTCCAAAGTGCATTTTAATTTTTTTTATATTTATTTTGTTTACATTTGTTTATTATGTATTACAGATATTTTATTTCTTTTATGAGTTGTAATAATCCTGTATTGTAATTTAACATTAATTTAGTAACAATTAATATTCGACTATTCGTATAACAGTGAGAATGTATATATATCATTTTTATACAAAGAAAATGTTTTATTGTAATAATATGCCAGTGTATATTTTATATACTACATTTAGCAGAACTTATGTGCTGCTCAATAAAGACAAGAAGTTATAATTATAATTTTATAACAACCAGTCCTTGAAATAAAGCTAGTTAATCAAAAATTAAAATATTATAATTTATAACAAAATTAAAATTTTATAAAATTGCCATAAAAGTTTCGTTTTAGATTTTTATATAAGTCGTGAAATAATTAAAAATTAAAAAAAAACTAATAAAAAAAATCCAATAATTCTGAAAATCATTAAATTTTTTTTTACATAATGTAAAGTATTTTAATTTGATGGAAGAATATTTAAAATTTAACATTGTATATAATAATAAATTACATTTTTTAATTATGAAATTATATAATATATATATAAAAAAAAAAGAAAATTAAGAAATATGAAGATTATAATCAAAGAAATTTGAAATAATAAAAGTACTTGAACAAATTTAATTCATCAATATTAACTGAATAACGTAAATAAATATCCACTATGTGAATTTGTAATTTTAATACAATTTTTATATTTAAAATACAGTTTTTTTGTAAATTTGTTTATACTGAATTAATATTTAATTATAGCAATAAAAAATAACGAACATTATTTATAAATAAATATTTGCCGAGATCATAGCTGGATTGATCGATTATGATTACAAATATATATTTGTCAGGAACATAAAATTTTAAGTTCATTTAATTTTGACTGGCTATAGAAAATGATTAGTCAGTGAAAGTTAATGAAAAATTAAGGATAAATTGTGTTCTTTCTTTAGACTTTTTTGTTTTGCAGAAATGATGAGAAAGAAAAACTTGAACATTTCATAAATATTGTTTTATGAAAAATAAAAAGTCTAATTTATCAGAAATGTTCTAGTATTTAAATTTTTAGTTTATTCGGTATAAAACTATATAACGTAGACATTTTTTGATATATAATATATGTGATATATACATATCCATATAATAAAACTATATAGTTTAAATATATAGCCTATTATCATAAATATGTTAACATGTATTCTAAATCTTTATAATATTATTATAAAGATCATAATTAAAATTATTTTTATGATTAATATATCTATTCAATTAAATCATTGTAAGATGTAGTACTGCCACTCATACTAGTTTCGCTTACTGTTTGTTGCTTTGCTATTGAATCAACAAGACATTCGTTATCTATTGAAAAAAAAAAATGATTAAATTATATATATTATAATGATAAAAGTTATAATATAAGTATAAAGTGTATAAAGAATTAAATAATTCAATGTTTATTACCTGACTCATTATCACTGATTGCTTGAGGTGAAAGTTTACAACCTTTAACTAAGTATTGTTTTAATTTACCGACACTAGCTAAAATTAATCCTAAAAATGGCGGTGAAGGTTTCAACGGTCTAGACAAATATTCTGGATGGAATTGTGTAGCAACATAATAACTATGTCCTTCTAATTCTGCTATTTCCATGCGTAAATTTTCTTCATCATGACCTAATAATAATAATAATAATGATAAATAATAATGAATAAAATTATAATAATAATAATTATATATAGAAAATTAATGCTATTAATTTATGCTATAATTTACCTACGAACTTCAATCCAGCTTCTTCTAAATCATTAATATAATTTGGATTGATTTCATAACGATGTCTATGTCTTTCTTCTATGCAATCCTTATTACCATATAATTGTTCTATAAATGAAATAATTAATTAATACAAAAACGGAAATATTAAATTATATTAAACATTTTTAAACAATTTATTACTTATAACAGAATTATTTTCTGTAAACCGAGTATATCTTTTTCCAAGTCTCATAGTTCCACCCATTTGTTTTGGATTGTATTCAGGCATATCTATAACAAGAGGATGATCTGTTTCTGGATCAATTTCCATACTATTTGCAGATTCTATATTTAAAACATTCCTTGCAAATTCAACTACTGCTACTTGTAATCCCAAACAAATACCGAGGAATGGTTTATCATTTGTTCTACACCATTTACATGCTTCCATTTTTCCTTGCATACCTCTTTTACCGAAACCACCTGGTACAACAACACCACTAAAAAAATGAAATCCAAAAATATAGTCAAAAATAATAAAACATAATTTTATAACATATAATTAATATATAATTAATAACAAAAAAAAATAACTTACTTGCTTTTACAAAGTTGTTGCCAAGCTTCATGATATAGTACAGGATCTACTGTTTTCATACTTTGTTCTAAATTATCAGCTTCTATATACTAAAATTATTTTTACAAATATAATATTATCATAATAATAAATATAATAAAAAGTAGATACTTGATACTTTACTGTTAATTTAAGTTTATAACCAACTTGAATACAAGCATGTTGTAATGCTTTTGTAACTGATGCATAAGAATCTTCTAATTTTGTATATTTTCCTACTAATGCAATATTTACTTCTTTTCGTAAATGATCAATACGATCTGCCAAATCTCTCCATTTTCGCATAAAATATCGAGGGCGTGGCATTCCGATATTTAATTGTAACCTATCATTTAAAAATTCAATTACACCTTGAGATTCCATCAATAAAGGAACACGATATATAGATGATAAATCATGTATAGTTATGACCTAACAAATAAAAACTTTTATTAGTTTTATAATTATTTATTTCAAGATTTTATTAAAATCAAGGAATTGAAAAAATACTTGTTCTGGAGCAACATGACAAAAATTCGAAATTTTTTCTTTTACAGAATCGCCTATTGGTTGTTCAGATCTGCAAACTATGAGATCAGGAGACAAACCTAATCCACGTAGTTCTCTTACACTGGACTGAGTTGGTTTTGTTTTTGGTTCTCCTGTAGATCTTGGCTAAAAAAATGTATTATATGTATTATTAATAATTTTTTTTTCTTATTATTTTTCTTTCTCAGTTATAAATATAATTTATAAATTAATTATAAATATAGTTATAAATCTTTATATATAAAAGTTATATAATTTTAAAAGTTAAGAATAAACTAACTTGATACAACTTGGCACAAATTCAAAGTCAAGGTCTAGGATAATGAAAAAAGTTATAATATTAAATAAAAACAATTTCATACTTGTGGTACTAAAGATACATGTGCACAGCAAAAATTTTCTTTTTTTACTCTAAACTGAAATTGTCTAAAAGCTTCTACAAATGGCATTCCTTCAATATCTCCTATAGTTCCACCTAATTCAATAATGCAAACCTGTAAAAAACAAAATTTTAATTAATTTTATATTATTTAAAAATTTTTTTTTCTAAATTTGATTATTATATCTAAATTACATCTGGTTTATCACCATCTTTTGTTACTGATTGTTTTGCAACTCTTTCAACCCATTCTTGAATAGCATCTGTTATATGAGGTATTACTACAGAAAAATAAAAAAAGCTTATTATTTATTAAAGTGATTTATTATTATTATTTATTAAAGATTTATTTATTAATATAATTATATATATTTTTAATTTTAAAATAATTAATTTTTAATTATATAAATAAATAAGATTTAAACAAATTTTCTTGCATATACCTTGAACAGTTTTTCCCAAATAATCACCATGTCTTCCTTTGATATTACATGTTGATAAATTTTTCCTGTTGTGATATTATTGTCTCTGTGTAAAGTAATATCTAAAAAACGCTCATAATTTCCTAAATCAAGATCTACTTCTCCACCATCATCTAATACATATACTTCTCCTAAAATATAAAAAATTTGCAACTGAAATGATATTTTTTACATTTTATTTATACTTATATTTTATTTTTATAAAAAAGTTAAAAATTTTTTTTTATAATTTAAAAAATATAGAACTGGAAAAATATTATTAATTATTATATTTATCTAATTGATGAAATAAATAAAATAAATAAATAATGAAATATATGTACATGTCTTAATTATAATTTTTTTTTTAAATACAAAAATTAATAATAAAAAATTATAAATAATTTAATGAAAAAAATATGATGTACATCATAATACATTTATTTACAATATTTATTTATAACTTTATTTAAATAAATAATGAAATAACAAATTAAACAAAAAATTCATAAATTTCATTGCATTTAAAAGAAATTATATTATTGTATTCATATATTAATATATTAATATATAATTAAAATATATAATTGTAATATTATATTAATTATTAGAATAAAAAATGTTTTTAGAAATATCACACGTGATTATAAAATTGCGCGGTAGCAATATGTAAAATGAGTTCTGATATCACATGGTTATATAAAAATTTCAGATTTTTTACAGAAATATTTATTGTGGATGTTACTTCATTCAAATGAAATGATTTAAAAAATAAATTGTAAACAACATACCATGCTCGTAAGGAGAAAAAGTACCGGCATCAATATTTATATAAGGATCTATCTTAATAGATGTCACATGAATACCGCAATGTTTAAGTATAGTTCCAAATGAACTCGCAATAACACCTTTGCCGACTCCACTAATTACACCACCAGTTACTAAAATATATTTCATTATTTTATAAGCAATTTAACGTAAAACGTCTGCATCGATTTCTTCATATATGTCTGTTAGTTAAAGTTTCTCAATTTTATTGGGTGATATCTGGGTCCAATAGGAACATGCAGCCTCTTATAAAATGTACAAGAATACTAATCATGATTTAGCGCCACTTTGACAGTAGTTTTTTTATATAGAATAAAAAATGATATGATCTGGCGGGATTTTTAATTAAATTTATTATAAATCGTTAAATATTGATTATCTTTTTATAATGATTGATGTTAAAAATCATAATGATTGAATAAATATTATTTAAAAATTAATAAAAAAGATACATTAGTTGACATAAATAAAAGATCATTTAAAGATCATTTGATATATTTTTTAGTGTAACATATTTTTATTTTAATAAAATAAAATGAAAAAAATATTAAATAATTAAAATATTAATAATATATATATGTTATAAATGTTAATAATATATAATTAGTATTAAATATAATTTCATAATATAATTTGATTGACATTTTTTCTAAAAGATAGACAAATAGAAAAATAGTCAATTTAGATGTTTATATTATTAGATTTTCATCTAGTAATATTTAGTTAGTGCTGAAATTTTATCCTATAAAACGAAAAGCTCTGTTTTTGTTTCCCTAAAAAAAACTGAAAACATGGCTGAAGTGTGATTGATAGATAATAAATATATCCTATAAAATCTTTTTCATCTAGCTCAAAAAGACAAAAACAATATCTTAGAATAAGATATAATATTTTTTTATTCAAAAGATATAATATTTATATATAAAAATAATTAATATATATAATAAAAAATAAATAATAATATATTATTAAATTATAAATATATTTTCCATTTGTGATATAATCTCTTATAATTATTTTATCTTTATTTTATCATATGGTTTTCAGACAGAAGAAATTCAAAAGACAAAGAAATCTTTCCGAAAGTTCACCTTTCGGGAAGTTGATCTTGATTAATTTCTTGATATGCCAAAGTAACAATTTTATATTTAAAAAATCAACTGAAAATAATAATAAATATTTAGTTGGTATACATTTTATATAATCTTTAAATTATATATATTTATTTTAGTGAACAGCTTATGGTTTTAACGCATGCTCATGTTCGTAAACGATAGATATTCTTTCTTTAGTTTAAAAAGAAAATTCATGATTCTAGTAAAAAAAAACATGTAAAACAAAAAAAAGAAACATCACCGAACGAAAAACCAGAAATTATTAAAACTCATTTGCGTAATATGATTATTATACTTGAAATGATTCAATTGTAAGTTTATTTATTTATATAATATAGTTTTTTATTTATAATAATAAAACATTTAATGAAGTTGAAATCAAACCCAAAATGATTGGCCATTATTTAGGAAAGTTTTCTGTTACTTGCAAACTTGTAAAATATGATAGATCAGGTGTTACCTATTTTTCAAGATTTATTCCATTAAAATAACTTATATTTGTAATATGAATGTACATAAAATACAAAATAAAAATATAAAAATTAATAAATCTTTTTTTATAAATTTTTTAAGTATTTTTAAATGTGATATATAGAAGATTATTATCATAAAATTATAATATTGAGTAAAATTAAAATTGAATTTTGTGTGAGAAATAAAATTAAATTTCAAAATATATATAATAATATAATATTTTATAAATATATATTTTTTAAATTATGAATTGTAATTATTTGCTATTAATAAATTTTTAAAATATTGTAATCATTTCGTATATAAATATATAATATAAAGTAGTAAAAATAAATTATATAAGTTGTATTTTAATTATCATACTTATCCATATGTTATTATTATTGATATTATTTTATAGTATTCATGTATGATGATTCACGTGGATTTTTACCGGTAGTTTTAATGTAAAATATAAACCATTATCTCTTCAAACATGGCAAAACAACTGACTGATCAAATATTGGATTATATAGATAAGCATGGAAAATTAAATTCTCTACATTTGGCTGAAGTTTTTAAAGAAAATCATCAAAAAATTATTGGAGCTATCAAGAGTCTTGAAGCAGTTGGTGATGTAAGTTAATAACAAATTATATATATGTGTATTATAATTATAAGTTTTTATAATATTGATTTTAAAAAATTATTATTTTTAATTTTGAGATTTTTATATTACAAAAATGCTTATTCACAAATAAATTATCGATTTTTTGGAGGAAGGAATTTGATTATAACCTTAAAATTTCTATTCTCATTTTTAAAATTTTTTATTATAAAAATATTATTTAAATTACATAAATAAATACATAAATTTTATTTTATATTTTATATTTTCATTATAGTTAATTTCCACTAAGCAAATTATTGATAAAAAATGGGAATTAACATCAGAGGGTCATCATGTAGTGAATTATGGAAGTCATGAAGCAGCAATTTATAATGCAATTCCCGATGATGGAATACCACAATTTGAGATTATACAATCAATTCCATTTGCAAAAATTGGATTTTCAAAAGCATTACAAGCTGGTTGGATTGTAATTGACAAAAGTAATGGTATACCTATTGTGAAAAAGAAAGCAACTTCTATTACAGATGTTATACAAAATGATTTAAAGGATCTAACAAGTTTAACTGATCAACTTAGAAATGACTATAAAAAAAGAAAACTAATTCAAGAAGTGTAAGTTTTTTATTAATTTAATTTAAAAAAATTATATTACATAAATAATTTTCTTAACAGAATTATTAAATCTATACAAGTAGAAAAAGGTCCAAATTTTACAACAACTATTGAAAAACAAGAAACAGAATTAACTGCTGATTTGTTAATAAATGGTGCATGGAAAAATAAAAAATTTAAACCATATAATTTTGCAGCACTTGGTGCTACTCTTGAAGTGGGTCATTTGCATCCACTGTTAAAAGTAAGAAGCGAATTTAGAAAAATTTTTTTAGAAATGGGGTATGTAAAAGAAAAAATTATTTTTAAATATATTTTCTTATTTATTAAATTATTTTTCTTATTTAAATATATTTTAATTTTTGTAGCATGTATTCAATATTTTTTTCTTATATATTTTTTCACTTTTTAGATTTACTGAAATGCCAACCAATAATTATGTAGAAAGTTCTTTTTGGAATTTTGATGCCTTATTTCAACCTCAACAGCATCCAGCAAGAGATGCACATGATACATTTTTTATAGCTGGTATATTTTATTAATAAATCTTTATATGTATATATAATATATATATATATATATATATATATATATAT